CCCTCTCCTTCCCCTCCCTCCTCCCCGCCCCCTCGAGCCGGGCGCGCCCGGGCCTCCGCCCGGGCCTGGCCGCCTGCTCAGTGCCCCCGGCCGGGACCCGGCGCCCAGGACGCGGCGCCGCCCTTGCCCGGGCTCCGCTGGGGGCGCCTCTCCCCGGGGCGAAACTCGCTGGCCCTGCTCATTGCAAGGAGACACCCGCTGCCTCCCGAGGAACTCCTAATACCATCCATACAGCTTTAATGCGTTTATAATTCGATAAGTGATTTCAATTTGAAATTGTTAGTAACTAATTTTATGGGTAATTTTTCCACATCAAATATTTAAGCATCAGATTAAGGGAGCCAGTTCCGACACACGATAATAAGGGGGTTTCCCCCCATCCACCCACCCCGCGCCGCCGCCTCCCTCCGTTTCCTACCGAGTCGTTTTTCCAAATCCCCAAAAGATGGCAGTCGAAGCCGACTTTCCTCTTTTCCTGCGGCTCTGCGAAAGGGTGGGGGGAGCAGGGGGCGGAGAGAGGGGGATGGGAGGAGGGCGGGAGATAGACTGCGAAGGAAAGACAGAGAGAGAGGGAAGCAAGAAAGGGGAAGGGGGAGAAAGTAGACGTTGCATGGACTTTTCAAACTAATGCTTTCACACGTTCCTAATACAAGCAAGAAGCAGTGGCGAATTTCCTGGAAAAGCCAAAAACCGTGCCATGTGGCCTCAGAGTAGGGGATGTGAGAAACTCAGCACATTCAAACTAAATCCTCAATTTCAGAGCAGAAGGGGGAGAGGGAGACCCGGAGTGAGACCGACTGGCTTTTGGATATTTCTATTTTAACATTATGTATAGATACTACACAACCTAGAAACTTGTTTCCTCGAGGACAGGACTCTGCAAATTACATAACGGGGGGGGGTGCTGGGTGGGGGGCAGACTGCAGTGGGCGCAGGGGAGAGTGGGGCGAGCAGCGGATGAATTGCAGACCAGTTGCCAAAACTTTTTTTTTTTTTTCCCCTGCTGCTGCTGCTGCTGCGGCTGCCTTTGCTGCTGCCTCTGCTGCTGCCTCTGCTTTGAATGTGGGTAACTAGGAAACAGCAAGCCGTCTGAGAAGACGGAATTTCCAACGTGTAAAATGTTCTTAACGGAACCATTGAGCGAGTGCAATAAGGCGTGAGGGGGAACTAATCTTCCCATTTAAATGTTTGTGGCAATTTTATCTAAATGAATTTTAATGCTAAACGAGGGTAATTCCCCATTTGTAGCGCGTTTACTTCTCTTTCCTGTGCTTCTAAAGCAGTCGAACATCATGCAATGAACAATAACAATAAAAATACTGTCAAGGCATATTATTCATTTTGAATGTGTTATAATTACAGCTGATTAAATATGATAGGGTAAAATATTTTTTAAATTTTTTCTGAAAAATATTTAAATCATACTAAAAAGTCGTCTTATTCAGCCAGCGGGTTCCCCCCATGTAAAAATTTTTTTTTTTTTTCCCCCTGCTGCTGCTGCTGCTGCGGCTGCCTTTGCTGCTGCCTCTGCTGCTGCCTCTGCTTTGAATGTGGGTAACTAGGAAACAGCAAGCCGTCTGAGAAGACGGAATTTCCAACGTGTAAAATGTTCTTAACGGAACCATTGAGCGAGTGCAATAAGGCGTGAGGGGGAACTAATCTTCCCATTTAAATGTTTGTGGCAATTTTATCTAAATGAATTTTAATGCTAAACGAGGGTAATTCCCCATTTGTAGCGCGTTTACTTCTCTTTCCTGTGCTTCTAAAGCAGTCGAACATCATGCAATGAACAATAACAATAAAAATACTGTCAAGGCATATTATTCATTTTGAATGTGTTATAATTACAGCTGATTAAATATGATAGGGTAAAATATTTTTTAAATTTTTTCTGAAAAATATTTAAATCATACTAAAAAGTCGTCTTATTCAGCCAGCGGGTTCCCCCCATGTAAAAATAGCAGGTACAATTGTGCTCCCTTGTTTAGGGGAGGGCGTTTTGTTTTTGCCTTTTAAGAAACATCAAAAACACTCTATTATTTCCCTCTTTCGGATAAGTGTCTTCAATAACCTCGGAGCTGGCTCTGAAATTTACAAGAGGAAAAGCTAAAATAGCATTCGGGGGGAGGGTGTCGAGGCAGAGGAAGAAAGGAACTGCGAAGCGCAAGGTCTCACGTCATCGTCACACGGGGGAGGCGGGACGCACGGAAACAACAGTTTATTTCTTTAATTCCTGAGCACTGATGATCTCGATTCTTCATAGTCTCCATATTCCCTAACTCATCTTTACTTGCATCCCGCTCTCTCCCCTAGAATCTCCCTCTCTCTCTCTCTCTCTCATTCCCCATACCTCCTCCCCTTTCTTTCCCTCCCTCACCCGGCAAAAGCCTCCTGAAGAATAAAGGCTGAAAATAACCCACTCACCCGGCCCTGTACTGGGGAGGAGGAGCGAATGGACGGTTAGTTTATAAAGTTTATTATTAATTTTAAAAGTAAATAAATGGTTGTTAACTGCTAGTAACCACCTATCAAAAAAAGAATGATTTCACTAACACGGACTATTTATGTAGACGAAGAATTCCCACAGGGTCAAAATGGGAGATTTAAACAATCCCATATATGGGGTGGGGGTGGGGTGGGGTGGAGCGGAGGGGCTGCGGAGATGGCTGCAGAGGACTGAGCCTGTCTCTGTGCAAACACGTGTTCAGGAACAAGGCCCCATAAACAAAAGGTGAGAGTGCGCATTGCTGCTCCAGCAGGTGAGCCAGTCAATCACACGTCACCTAGTAAAGCCAACTCACAGCTGGTTTCTCTTTTCAAATAGAAAATAGAATTGCTCAGGGCGGGTTTATAGGGTGACACTGGCCGGGACGTCAGACTTGAGGTTCAAGGCGCTCTCCTCCGACCCATCCTTTGTTTACAAAGCAATCACGGCTAAAAGGCTTAGTTTTTTAAAACGAATTTGCCTTAATTAAAATTTTTGTATATTTTCCTTTGCTTTGGAAAGCACTTTTTATAGGAGCAATTTTATTTAAATAAAATTATAAGCTATTCCAGCTTAAACATGTTATTTTGTACCATTTAGCTGGCTGCCATGCAGAAATTCTGTACAGCTGTTCTAGAAAATTGGTTAATAACCAGTTTTATCCAATGAGAACATAGAGCATATTTATAAAAATTAGATTTTGAAGTCTGGTCTCTTCAATTCACGTGGTTAATTTCCTAATAAACGTATACTGTTCATCCTAGGTAACATCCTTAGTGAACGACTTAACTCTGTACTTAGGTTCACCATTATGGGCAAGAATAATTTCACTGATATTAGATGAGTAATTCTGTTGGATGTAATCTGAGTCTACTTAGTTTAGTGCCTTTAGGCCTCAAATTTGCTGATATTAGGAGTTCATTAAGTCAGCTTAAAGAAATCAGTGGTTCTTATTAAATAATTTACTTTGTGGTTAAAATTTTCAAATACATTATGGCTTAGGGAGCTAAAATTAATTTTTATATTTACTGCATTAATCATTAAAAATTCTTAAAGAAATCAGTGGTTCTTATTAAATAATTTACTTTGTGGTTAAAATTTTCAAATACATATATGGCTTAGGGAGCTAAAATTAATTTTTATATTTACTGCATTAATCATTAAAAATTGGGGGGGGCAGTAAACAAATTTTTCAAGCAGTGGAGTCAGCATGACAAAAATAATCTTGTTTTTATTTTAGATTCAGATTTCATTACTGCACTCAAACGACTACAACTGGGCTTGGCGTTATTATACAATCCAAACTGTTTCCGTCAGAAACGCAAAAAACATGATTTGAAATCAGTCACCATTGCAGACAATGCATATTCCCTTAAGCTACTGAGCATGAATGTCCATGACTTGTCCACTCATTGTTGGATCTCCTGTATTAAGAACCGTGGGGCTTGATGCTGACATTGGCATTCCAGGGTGGGGCGGTCCTCCATGCATCATCACTGTTGGGTGGTGAGGGTGTCCAGGAATGTACGTATGCATGGGGGGCCCATGACGCAGCTGAGCAGGATGGGGGGGCATCTGGGGTTGGGTATAACTTGGCTGTCCCATACTCACACCCATTGGACCACCCCGGGCTACATATTCCCCTGGCATACTTTGCAGCCCTGTAGAAATTCAAAAGAAAGAAACAAAAAGAAAATATTACAAAAAAGCAACAGTGTGGTTTCGGCTATGGCAATCCTATGAAAGCCAAGGAACATCATGATTAAGGGAACATGGCTTTGTAAAGCACTTTTTGGATTAATTATAGAAGAAAATAAAATGAGAAAACATCATGCTGGAAACTCACATTTTGCCACTATATTCCTTTCATTGTCACCGTTATCAGGTCTGCCTACTGAGGTCTTATTTATTTAAAAAAATTAAGTTGTTATTTGAGGTCCAGTCTGAAAAAGCGCTTTTGTCCCCTGAAACATTCTCTACCAAGAATACACTGTGCTGGTCACCAAACGTCTTGCAGGAAGCTGAGTTAGGCAGGCTCACTAAGGGTGATTACTTAGCAAAACCTGTACTTTTAAAAATTCA